ATGGCGAAACAGAGGCCAGGGTGCCATGTGCGAGTGGTGGCAAGCAGCTGCAGAAGTGGGCCGGCGTCTGCTGGGCGGGGCTACTGATGCCGCCGCCGCAAGGTGAGACAGTGGAAGACCTCTACCGAAAATAAGACCTAATGCCTCTTTTGGAGGCAAAACAAATAATAAGACTGGGTCTTATTTTCGGGAAAACATGGTAGTAACCTCTGATCCAAAACTGGAGAATATACTGTATTTAGTCTGACCCATGTTTTCTGGCATACACTTTTACACTTGTGGGCTTCTTGATTTATCTGGAAAAAATGGTGGACCAGTGTATGGGAAATTAAGTAGAAGAGACTGACTGGATCAAACTTAGAGAAAGCACCATAGAATGAAATCCTGTCAGGAATAGAGAGATCATACCTCATCTGCAGTGTGGGATCAAGAACACAAAAATAATACCCTCAGTTCCTCAAATTAGTCAGATTTCATAAATTATAGTGGTTTAATTATGGACCAGTTTAGGCAAAACCATGTCTAATGAAATTCTGCATGCATCTGGAATATTTGAAGACACAGGAAAAAACATTAAATTAAAATTAAAGCCATCTGAATGACCTGGAAAAATATAATCTCTAGCAACTATGAGTTCAATGGTAGTCTGCAAAGAGGAGACACCATATACTTGCATCTTGATAGATTTCCAGCTTTATGGACAATGTCTTAACTGTTGTTGAGAGGAGTTACTATGTGTATAGCTGGTATTCTTTAACTTCCACCCATCTATCCATCCTCCACAAAATGTGTATAAAGCTTTTTCTTCACTTTGGAAACCTTATAACATGAAAAAGCACAAAAAATATTTTATATGAATTTGTGAGCCCTTCTGAAACTTTTGTGTTGAAACTAAATGCATGCATTCTGATTCTCCATTAATAATAATAACCACAAAATAATAATAGTAATAAACAGGGAGGAAAATGGCTGCAAAACATCCCTAAAGGAATTTCACTGCTGAGAAGCTCTATTAATTTCAGCTCACAGATATCATCGGGAAACGTTGCCTGAGAAGAATCAGATGCAAAACATTCAAAGTTGTTACAAAATCATTTACTCTGTAATTTTTCATAGTTGATGTACTTAATTTCTGGATCTCATTAAAGTTTGGGAGGGCTCCAAAAGGAATAGATTATGTTTCCTTCTGAAAGTAACTTTATTTTCTAACCATATTTTGATGGGCATTTTTTTTCCCAGAAGGAACAAGTACTCTGAAGTCTAAATTTAATTACCTACTGCACATGAATGGCTATAAGAAATTATTTCATTATTTCCTGAACACCATGAAGTTTTTTTATACACTGTAATTCTCCACAAACCATTTACAATTCTGTTTGATCAATAAAAATAGGCTTAGTGACACATCTCAAAATGTAACTGAGAACGTGGGGTGGGCATTAAAACATCCAAGTTATTTTATCCTATTCTTTAATCCTTCATCTATCTGGAAGAACTTTGGGACATGAATGATTATATCGCTTCCTTTTATTGGAAGAAAAGAAAATTGCTTTACATTCTCCTTTAGTCAAGGCTGTATTTTTAGCTGGTGCCAATAACCAATATGAGTGTGTCTGTCTTTCTTTCTGGGCAGGGGGGCAAAAAAAAAAGTCAGACCCATTTAATGTCATGTCTAGAGCTGGTGACATCTTTCTCAATGCATTTTCTTTCCAAATGAGGCCGATTTAGCTCTTTGATTCAGATAATTTTGCCAACTGAGAATGGCGTCAGACAGAATGAAACTTAATGGAGGATCCTGAGAGAGGCCACTGTGAGGAGATTCTTATTCCAGTCTCAACTTCAATTTGGCTCAATCTTAATTTATTGGCAGATACGGTCATACAAGAGTTGCCAACCCATTACCAAGGTCAGAACAAACTAACTGGAAGGTTTTCTGGGAGAGATGAAAATGTTTTTCTTTCTTTTTTATATATAGACACCACTGGAATGTATTGGTGCCTTCCAATTCATATTTCTAGCCAGCCTCCAACTTTATATGGTTCATCTACACTATTTTTCATGCCTTTCACTACATTTAGTGTCTACCATTGGTGATTTGATTAAAATAACATGATTCATGAGAGAAGACGAACCAGAACTAGATCATGACCAAGATGCTGTAAGTCCTAGGATATTTTCAAATATTTTATTGAAAGATACTGGAAAAATTATGAGATGATTTGCTACAGAACATTCTGTTCTTGCAAAGTTGTGGGGAGTACATTGTCAAAAATAAAAATATCACCTGACTCTGATCATTGAGACTGGATGGGTGTTGCTTACATGTAAAGCGAAACATGAGATCTGACCTAAATTGCTGTCATTTTCCTAATAGAGTATACAGTTTTGGTCACTAAATTATAAAAAAAGATGTTGAGACTTTAGAAAGAGTGCAGAGAAGAGCAACCAAGATGATTAGGGGACTGGAGGCTAAAACTGAACGGTTGCAGGAACTGGGCTTGGGCTAGTGAAGAGAAGGACAAGGGGAGATATGATAGCAGTGTTCCAATATTTGAGGGGCTGCCACAGAGAGGAGGGGGTCAAGCTATACTCCAAAGCACCTGAAGGCCGGACAAGGAATAATGGGTGGAAAGTGAACAAGAAGAGATTCAATCTGAAAATAAGGATAAATTTTCTGACAGTGGGAACAATCAACAAATGGAACAACTTGCCTCCAGAATTTGTGGCAGCTTCATCACTGGAAGCTTTCAAGAAGAGACTGGACAATCTGTCAACAATGGTGTAGGATCTGCTTGGGCTGGAGGTTGGACTAGATGACCTACAAGGTCCCTTCCAACTCTGTTAATCTGTATCTTTATCTGTATATTCTAGGGAAGCTTACTTGTGTGAGCTCTATAATAGAAAATCTCTCCTAAGGACTGAGTTGCAATTGTATATGTAAGCTAAGAGTCTTAGTAGGAGGTAGCCCTGGGACAGCTTTGGCTTTCTAGGACATAAAGTAGCTAAATGTTCAAAGTGACACTTGGATGGGGGAACCATTGAAGAATCCCAAAGCTGATAGTAAAACCTCAAAAGATAGTAAAACCTCAAAAGATATTTTAAAAAACATCTCAGAGGACAGTGATAACAATCCACTTCTATATTGTTGCCATCACAAAAGCTACACTGATGGGGTCACTCAGAAGTTGAGTTTGATTCAAGTTAAAATTTTGGGTTAATATGACTCCTGATAGCCTTAGGCTTAGGTGAAGCCATGTTTTGCCTACCTGGTGCCATCCAGATGCATTGGACTAATTTTATAATACTCAAACAACAAACAAGTTTTTGGGATTCACAATTCAGCCCAACTAGAAGGTACCAAGCTATGAAACACTGTCTTAAATTATCTCCTAGATCTTGTGTGTAGGCAGCAGTAATATTTCTCTATAATGGAGAGCGTTCTTTCCTTCCATTGCTTATCTCTGTAGCCTCTGGCCTTATATACATTCTTTGTGCTGGTTCTAGATCAGCTCTATGCTTCTCATACCCAAGACGATGGTCTATCTTCCCAGCTAAGTTGCTGTTTCTAAGTTGTTGTTTTTTGGGGAGGGGGTAGGGAGGGCAATGCTGGAACTTCTGGCAGTCTGTTTCTCTACTGACTTTTCTGATTCTATCCACTGCCCTCAGGCAAGAAAATAATGCTCTGAAAATCAGAACAGAAGGGGGCTGGATTTGGATTGCTAGGAAAATGAGGTAAAACAATTACTGAGATAGAAAATGGACCGGATTGGCTGGAGACTGCAAGAGAAGGAAAAAGAGAGATTTCCTAAAGGTGAAACTGAGAGAACCCTCACAGCTGCCCCATTCTTAAATTATCCTTCCTATTGTTTGCATAACTCAAAACTGATCCCATTTATTTATTGCCAGAATTAAATGACTCTCCATAGTTATAAGATCACCCAATATAGTAATAACATCCATGATAGACATCTGCCCTGCACTTCTCACTGTACTCATAGAGGCAAACATACACAGACACATTTCTTGGTCACACAGAAGGAAATATGGTACCTCTGATGGCTGCTGCTGCTAAAAGCTTGAGAACAATTTCAGAACTCATCTTTTGGGGTTTTTTTAAAGTTATTTTTTTTAAAAGAATCAGTTTTATTTTTATTTCATTTTAAAGAATCAGTTATCCAACAGGTACTCATTTATTATGTATATACATACCAGTTTAAACTTATATGTTTCTATGTTATGTTCATACTTATACTTATAGTATACTTATGCTATGTTATGTTCATACTTATACATACTTAATAGTAAAAACTCAAAAGATAGTAAAACCTCAAAAGATATTTTAAAAAACATGAGAATACATGCTTGACAAACTAAACTAACTAAAAATAAAGGTACACAGCAACCGTTCCTCGTATGTTTTAACCTCCAGTCCCCTCATCATCCTGGTTGCTCTTCTCTGCACTCTTTCTAGAGTCTCCACATTATAGTCTGGTGACCAAAACTGGACGCGGTACTCTGAGTGTGGTCTTACTAAGGCTTTACTTACCAAGACCTGGCTGACCACATCCCGCCTTTCGTGTGTGCGCGGGAAATCCAGCGGGGCGCTTTCCCCTTCTCCGCCTGCTGGCGTGGGGGTGGACGGGGGGGGGGGGGGGGGGCTTCAGCGACGGCGGCGCCCCGCGCGCGTGGGGCGTGTGCGGTTGGGGAGTCTCCACCTCTTCTGGCGCGGGCCCGGGGAACTGCCGGAGCCTCCTTGGAGCTCTCCGCAGACGGGGCTGGAGGCGAAGGAGCGCGCTCTGCAGCCGGACGAGTCGGCGTCGGCGGTCTGCAATCTCTCTCTCTCTCTCTCTCTCTCTCTCTCTCTCTCGGAGCAGCGGCCGAAAGAGCGACCCTCGGCGGCCTCCTTTGGTAGCGGGCTCGGCTCTGTTCCCGGGTCCGCAGCACCTCCATGGACGCCAGGTGGCTTTTCTGCCGAAGCAACGCGCGCTGAGCGTTTTTTATTTTCTTTTTCAAGGGGAATCGGCTCGTTTGAAAGAGAGGAGGCTCCGCTTTGGCCATGCTCCGATCCTGGGCACTCGTGGCCCTCTTCTTAGGTGAGAGTTACGCAAGGCTCGGCTGCTCGGCGAATTTGGGGAGCGGGTGGGACGGGAGTGCGGCGGTGGGACTTGCGCGGCTCGGCCCGGGATTGGCGTTCCTTGGCGCCGTCGAGTTTCAATCGGGGTTGTTGAGGGCTTTCAGGAAAGCCATGTCCGCTCCCGCGAGGATGGGTTTCTTCCCCCTCCAGCCTAGCGAGCTCCGGGAGTGTGTGTGTGTGGGGGGGGGGGGGGCTTGGTTTATTTTCCCCGGAGAAACCTTAAAGTGAAGGGGTCCTTCATGCTCTCTGAACTTATTTGCTAACACTGATGAGGCTGCCTCCTTTGGGTAATGAAACGTCTGCAAGCAAACAAACAGGGAGCACCAAAGAACCCCCCCTCGGGTACACCCAAAATATTCTCCTTTATTCAAATGTTAACAGGCAAACGTCAAACGGAGCGCGTCGCGCACGCGGCTTGATGGATGGGGCTGCCGTCGAAGAGACGGTGGAAATCGCGCGGCGGAAAACGGGTTACCTGTTCCCGAACGCGGGATTGTTAAGACTCAAAACAACGGTGTCCGGAATAAGCAGCGCGGTCCTATTTCTCGAGCGCTCAAAAGTGAAGCCCGCGGTTAGCTTGCTTCGTTACCCTGGTTTATAGCCAGCGACGGGTTTGGAAAAGTTTTGAGGTTCGAGGGTATTAAGAGAATCTAACCGCGGAATTACTCTTGGATTGCAGGTGAAGGTCATTTAGCTGGAAATAAAATTAAAAAGAAAAAAAAAGACAATCGGGAACAGCAGAACCGTAAAGGGCATGTTTAGTAGCCGATCCGTGAACGCTTCTGCTAAAATAAACGTATTGACCTTTTAAGACGCCGCAAAAGCTTTTACTAATTTTGCTTTGGTAAACTCGAAGGTTTTTTTTCCTTAACGAAGAGAAAATCCACTCCCATCCGAGCTTAAATGTTGCCATTAGTAATAATGATAATGATGTGCCGTTAAGAAAATAAGCGTTTTTCCTGATCAATTCAAAGGACTTTGTTCCATATGGGGCAAAATGGCTCAGGAGATTCTCATTCATTCCAGCTCATAATTGTCCCAAAGGAGCTTTTATTTTAAAGACAAGTGAATTATCTGTTGTTGTTTTTTTTTTGTTGTTGTTAAATTGTTTCGCTTTTCATCCAAGAAGCTGAAGAAGAAGTGAAGAAACTTCTTGGATGAGAGAGAAGCTAAACGTCTTGAAAGAAAAATCAGACCGTCCAGTTGCCTTCAAAATGAATTAGCACCTTTGGGATGTGGGGCTGTATATAATTGCAGTCAGAAGTGGGAGAAACTGAATACACCTGTTTGCAAAAACAAAAAACCCCCTGAGTTAGCATATTGGCTTCCATAAGGCTGAACCAATTTGCATGTTTGGTATTCTTTTAATTAGCTTAAGAGGAGCTGTTGCCCTGGTTCGGTGTTTTTCAATCTGGGTAAATTTAAGATGTATGGACTTCAACTGCCAGGATTTCCCAGCCAGTAATATATATGGAAAGAGTGGGAGAGTGCTGACTTTCTTGGCTTTTTGAAAAAAGTAAATTCTGCACAGAATGAAACTGCCAAGGAGTAACTGTTGACCACTTTACATTGAGAATGTCAGCAGAGTGAAAATTAATCACTACTGCCTTCTCAAAGAGCCAATCTCTGTTTGAAATAAACAGATTTTCCTTCACCATCTTTTTAAGAGGCCACATTGTTTCTTGCTTTTAGCACGCTTTCTTTCTTCTTTTTCTTTTTAAAAGGATGCTTCTTCACAATATTGTGCTCTGGAGAATATGGGGAATTCTCTCCAAAAGTAGCATAATGTGTGAGACTTAATAAATGTGTTTCTTGTGTGGGCTGAACCATCTGGGCTCCTATTTGTAATGCAGGATGGATGGAGAACCAGGGAAAACATCCAAACCTCCTGTCCCTTGCCCAAAATAGATGAGGCTTCCTGTGTCTCTTATGCCCAAAATACCAGATGGTGAGGTGTGTGTGTGTGTGCTAAATCTAAGACAATGTCATATTCAGAACCCTTCTGTTCCTTTTTCTCCCTTCCCATATTCTGGAATTGACAGCAGGCTCTGTGGGTAGCCTGGTTGAACCTTGGCTCATGTTTTAAGCTTAGATGGTTTTCTTAAGTCTGTCCAAGGCCAATTCCAGAAGAGTGGCCACAATAACCAATAGTAGCTAATATAGCAAAGAATCTGGAGGTGGCAATAAACACAAATCCTACTCCTCGATTTTTTATCTTATTTTGCGGAGAAAAACTTCCGTCAGCAGATGGATATGTTGGCTGATTTTCTTAAGTGTGAAAAAATATTTTCTTGTGCTCTTTGGTCTTTTTCCTTTGAAATCCCAAGTCATTGATCTCTTGGCCTGCAGATTTTATACTGTAACAAAAGGGTTTCAGAAATACAGGTATCGTGTGTTAGGTGTCTGCTTCTGTTTGCTGGGGCTGGGATGGGTTTAGAAAGCAGCTCCTAAATATCAACTAAGCAACTAATAAAATATCAGATTCACTAATGAAGAAGGGGTGACTGTTGAGTTTATTAAAAATATCTAAAGTTTGTATGGAAGAATTTTCTGACTAAGAAGACTGTTTGGTGGGGGTAGATGGGATAAGGGAGATTGCTATCATCTTTTCCCATTATTGTACGATATTGAGCTTGTTTAACTGGATAAATGAGAATTGTTAAGATTGGGGTTTTGTCCTCCTCTTTGTGCAAGTTTTTCCCCTCTGCCACTTGCACTTGCTGTATTTGCATTTTATAGCTTTCAACGGCATGAAAATATTCTTGGTACGATAGCAGAATATATAAAAGACATGCTAATCTATATAAAGAAGAATATTTGTGTGCACACAGTGGGCCTTCATGAAGCAAAGAAGAAGGATTGCTAGTTGCTCAAATGGTGATGGGAGTTGACATTTGTGTACATAAACATGACATTCCCTGGCAAGTTTTGTAAAATTTGAAGCCACCCAAACATGGCTGACATTCATTTACTTTATGGAAAAACATCTGGAATTTTGAGTTCACTTGTTGAGATGGGTAGCCATACAGACTAAATTAATATGTAAAATACATTAATGATAGACTTCTGTACCTGTGCAGAATGTGAGGCTACTGTTATTCACATCCTACAATAGTGTTTCATAACCTTAGCAACTTTAAGATATGTGCAACTCCTAGGATTCCCTAGCTAGTCATATACTGTCTGGGGAATTCTGGGACTTGAAGTCCTTATATATCTTCAAATTGACAATGTTGAAAAATCTTAGAAGCTGGAGTTCGAAACATTTGACTGATAGCTAAAAGCAAACCATGGTGGCGTGGTGGAATAGGAATGGAGAGATCTAAGCTTTGCCCTCAGCCATGGAAGCTGAGTGGGCATCTTTGGGGCAGTAACACATTTTCTACCTAGCCTACTTCACAGGGTTGGAGTTGTGGGGAAAAGCTATAGGCTTTGTAAGGAATGCAATATAGGTTTCAGTGAGTTCTGGTACAAAAGACAGGATATTAATTTAATACCGGTAAATATCACATGATTAAATATCTTATTAGATCCAAGTAGAAAGTTAAGATGGACTGAGGTGGTTTTTGTTTTTAGGGTTATAATCCATAATATCAGATAAAGCAATAAATGAGACAGTTCTGTCTTCTTGCCTATTGTTTTGAGTGACCTGCTAGCTTTTCAAGTATCAAAATGATTTTTCAACAGCAGGGATTTGGAGCTATCAAAGTAGTTCAGAATCAGGTTTATTTTCTCCCGCTATCCTTTTTGCAATGTTTTGCAATGAAGAAATGAATTTGAAGTGAAGCAGTGGCTTCATTTCTTCCTTCTAAAAGTAAATCTGGGATATCTCAATCCCTGCATATAGTTACAGATCTTCTGTTGCCAACCATGCCTAACTGCCACAGACTTCACCCTGACCCTGGCTTTTAATTTTTGAAACAGAAAGCTTTTTCATGTGCACTCTCAACTGCACTAAGACAGGATCTCCAAGGGACTTGTTGGTAGACTTTTAAATGGTTAGGAACTTAAGCAGCTCAATTAAGTTGGAGCTATGTTTGGCTGGTCCCCAAACAGAGCAGACCAGGGGTGGGATTCAACTACCGCTTCAGTGACTACATTTTGTGCTGCGTGCATGTGTAAAGAAACCTTAAGCTGTGCTGCCCGGACAGCTGAAAAGTGCTGCGTGCCTGTGCGCAGCGTTTGGAAAGCCTCTTTTTTCCTGCTTTTTCAACCTCAGCTGTGCCGCGCAAAGCATCTGAGGTTGAAAAAGCAGGAAATAAAGGACAGGTAAGAGCCCAGGCGGGCGGGTGGGCCAAACTGGTTCAATGTCTGCTGCTCTTCAGAGCTACTGGTTCTATAGAACTGGGCAGAACCGGTAGAATCCCACCCTTGGAGCAGACATTAAAATAGTGATACTGAATGTGTTCAGTGCATAATTCTTTTTTCTCCTGGATGAATGTACATGCTAAGTAATACTTTTGCTGGCTTCATTGTACTGAGAGTGACAGATTCAAGGGCTTCCTGCTATATTTTGCAGGATAGATAGATACGTTCATTCATCCCCTCTTAGACTAACTTTATTGTCACTTTGAATGTGCACTAATCGGCATACATCAGGAGTATCAAACTGGCAGCCCAGGGGCTGGATGCGTCACATGCAGGCCACGCCCACCCCAGGAAAAAACCACCATGAAACGTCACGTGACAACAACGTGATGCGACAAGTTTGACACCCGTGGCATACATTAAAATGAAATTCTGTTGCATACAGCTCTCAAAGGGTGTCCACCTCCAATATACACTACATAAACATGGCTAAATAAATAAATAAATACAAAATTATGCATATACCCACATATATCATATGACACGGACAAACCGCACAGTTTAGTTTGGATGTATACATGTACATGGCAAGAGAAACAAATCTTGCAATCTTTACCAGACGGAACAAAGCTCTTTCCTATGGGGAATCCT